ACATCACCCCTCCTCCTCCTCCTCCTTCCACAGCCAAACATCTTCAGCCACGTAAGTAGCTAACGTGATAGTGGCACAGGCCCGCGGACGCGCGCAGTGCCACTGACGATGCGCCATGATGTGTTAGGGGCAAAGACGCTGGACTTCCAGCCTTTTTTGCTTATTACACCACCTATATAGGCCCGCTAACTTTATCTATCGAGCTAATCTTTTATCGTAGTAGACTTTTGCTTTATAGCTGTTTTATCTGTTGTTCTTTGTTAAATACATATTTATACTGGATGTGCATTGAGCTGAACTACATTTTGCGATCTGGTGGATTCCGATGCGGAAGCGCTTGCAAATTCCACCAGAATAGGAGCTGCCTCTCGTTGTTCCTCCGTTTCCGCCAACGAGCATCGCCAGGCTGCCTCCATCTCTTTGAGCTCTGTACACATCGCCATGGCCGCTTCGCTATACCCGCCATGGGCTCCGACTAGGCCGTACTCGACAAGTGCCAAGTTTCGTACCGCCGCCAATTGCGAGTCCAGCATTGCTAATTTCGCCGTCTCTGCAGTTTCCGTCCTCGGCTCTTCTGCTGTCTGCGTTGTCAGCACTACTCTGCCGCTATTTTCCGCATCCAGGATGTAGTCTTCCGCTTTCGAATCATCCTCACCCTTTACTCTACGTCCATGCAGTCGTCGGAGAACACCCTGAGACATGCATTCTGTGGAAGGTCCAACATCTTAACATTTTCAAACGGAAGATTCTTGAGTTAATTATTATTTACCTCTGACAGTAAAGTAATTGGGCCTTACCTGGAGCACTTAGATATGTATAATTGCTACTACTTCCGCTTCCACTACTGATGGTGGTTCCCGACTGTTTGCTTGTTTGAAGCCGACGCGGTTGACGTGCAATGTGCCCAGCATCTTCCTGAGTGATCTCATGATTGTGTTGCATGTTGAGATGAAAAATCTCAACCCACCCCTTGTACGTTTGAATTACCACATAAGCTTTACAACCAATGCGCTTACTGAGTGAACAAAGGGTAAAATTTAACAGAGATATAGGGGAAACGGGCATACCTGACAACAGGCCTGGAAGTGGCATTGCTTTCCGACCAGCCGTAACGCACGCATTCGAAATGAGCTCTTGCATAGACCAAATGTTGTCGATCAATTGCGTCTGCTGGCCACCTAACAGTGTGCCGCTTAACATATGAGGAGCCAGTATGCTGAAAAAGTTGGACGTAGTGATATACTAGTGCGCAACTTCGATCTAAAAGACCACCCCATAAACCCAGAAAACCACTCGTATATTGATAATATTTAAAAAGCTAACATTTTGAAAGGCGATGAGAAGATTGTGAAATTCATCATAGGTCCGATAGCGATCTACTTGGAAGAACTGGCGGAAGACGTCGGTGAGATCGCAGACAACATTATACGCTAGGAAAACAGGTCATTAAATTATTTTGCATACTTTCTTCAGGCATAGGACCGTGAATGTGGTGCATGTTGAAGCGAGTGACGTAAACGCCAGATTTCTTCGAGCCCACTGCAAAGAATGCGTCGCAATAGGAAACAGAGCATGTAAACTGTCCTTGCTTCAAAAGAAGGTTCGGAAGGCCCTCAAGCGCTGTCTGACGGTAAATGACATGCCGCCGTGCAAATCGACAGCCTGTTTCCTAGAATAAGTTCATCGCTAAATCGACACATGCACACCTTCTTAAACGTTTCACAAGCCTGCTCAAACTCCGCGTCCGAGGTAAAGTGTTTTCCAGTAAACAATCGTTCAAACACATCTGTCAGATCCATCGTAACATAAGACTTCCACTTCTAGTAGCGTATGATCTAATCCTAATGGGAGCAATTCGTTAAACGAAGGTCACAAAGAATCCACTGCGCAATCATACAGAGCTTGAATGGGCACAAACTCGAATCGAAATATGTAGTTAATTCTAAGCCCAGTGTACAAATAGCTCCAATACTTGCAAAATTTTGCCTGAATAAGAAGCATTGATAATGCAGATTAGTTGAGTTATGTTTAGATGGAGATTTAAGGTCAATTATTTTTTTCCACAGGAAAAAATCTTATATACAGTGGCGTCTTTTATAAAATGCCAGATAATATCTTTTGCAAGGATTCGCCACTATCAGCCACTGCAAACTAGTTTGTTTCCACTTTCTGCCGCTACTCTAATTTCCTATATCTGTAGCGTATAAATTCCCTTCAAATAACAAGTAAGATCTGTGCTCAAAAAATCAGTGTTGAAAACATACAGGGATAGAATTACACACCGCCTAACCTATGTCTTCAGTTGTTTCCACTTTATGGATTAACTAAAATTGGCGTCATTGGAATTATGTATAGGTATTTACAACTTCCACTGGGTGTTTTTAAGAGTTCCAAATGGGCAAGCATATTCTGGGCTAAAAATGATATTCGTATGTTTAATCTGCGAACGCTTATTGCATATCTATAGCTTTCTAGGCTTAAAATATTCAAGAATTACGTCTTTCCATTAGCAACACTAAATTGACCAGGTATGTATTGCTGCAATACCAATACAAAGCAATGGGTATGTTAAACTTCACCTAGAATTCTTTGTTTAAGCGAATGAATTACGTCCCATGACCTAACCCGACCACAGAATTGATTAAAAAAGAGCCAATTTGCCTTTCTACTCGTCAGTCGGGGCTCGGCAACTTCTGCGGTCGCATCGTCTCTGTCTCATCTTAGTCTTTAAAATGAGTCTCGTTCGTCAAAACTTCCATGAGGAATGCGAAGCTGGCATCAATCGTCAAATTAACATGGAGCTCTACGCCAGCTACCTCTATCTGGCCATGTCTCAGCACTTTGACAGAGACGACGTCGCCCTTCCGGGCTTTAGGGAATTTTTCGCTAAGGCCTCTGAGGAGGAACGCGAACACGCCATAAAGGTAAACCGCCTCCCAACTCATTGCATCCTGTAGCTCATGCGTTATCAATGTGGACGTGGCGGCCGCATTGTCTATCAAGACATTGCCAAACCCCAGACAACTGAATGGGCATCCGGTCTTGAAGCCATGGAGATGGCGCTTAAAATTGAGCATGAGGTCAACGAGTCCCTCCTTGCTTTGCGCGGTGTCGCTAACAAGAACAACGACAGTCAGTTTTGTGATTTCTTAGAAGGTAAGACTCTTGACTCTTGCTTAATCTCCTCCTGTTCTAGTTCGAAATGTAACAATTGCCTTCTTTCTCTTGCCATGCAGGTGAATTCTTAGGGGAGCAAGTCAGTGACATTAAGAAACTGGCAGGCTATGTGACAAACCTTAAACGGTGCGGACCTGGCCTGGGAGAGTACATATTCGACAAGGAGACCCTTCAGGGTGGTGAGAAATAAACCGACCCTAGCTATGTTTCGGAGCAATTTTGTCCCTTCCCCCCTCCTTGTCATTTTGTGATCTGCAGAAGCGACTCATGATTACAAATAATTATTTTATCAAGTCATGTTGTTTCCTCTTCTCGCGCATGACCGCTGGTTTCTGCCTTGCCGATGACCCCTTCTAACGTTCTGATCAGGTTTGAGTAATCTAAAACAGATAAAATACCCTATCGTTAGTAGATGTGATATTATGCCTACCTGTTGCATACCAGCAGTTTCAATAGCAGAAAGCTGGGATAAAGTGTCGTAGGGATCTGTTTCATGAGCTTTTACGTGCACTTTTATGGAATATACGTGCAGGACTGGGGGTTCACAACAAGGTGAAATTCTTGATCCAAATTGGTGCTGGCCACCCATGGTTTCTACGTTTTAGCAGTTACTGATTGTGTGTTTTGCTGATGCCTCCCCCCCCCCCCTCCCAGATCCCATTCACAGATTCAAGTTGAGTTTTCTGTTTGGATCAGGTGTGACAAGATAACAACTTGGATTTCTGTACAATTCTGAATTTAAGCATTTAAAATAGGCTACAACACATAGTTAAAACGCCCTTCCAAACAAGCTCATGCCTGTATATTTGGAGTGCAACATTCAAGGGCTAATGCCGTGTCAGATCAAAACCTACTTCATTTCCAAGTACCTCTGACGTTGTCCCACACAATCTCGAGTTAACTAAAAAAGGTAGGAGATTTCTCAAACTAACCATTCCTTTTCGCTGGTCTTGTCTCTGCCTCCTCCTCTTCCTCTAAATGAGCTCCCGAGATTATGCTTTCGATTTCTCTTATCAAATCCTTGCTGTGTGGATCGTCCAAATTCAAGGAAAAGCAGTCCTCAACTCCATGGGATGGCTGTACGTCTTTGAGCAGCCGGTTCATCTCGAAGCACGTTTCTTCTCTGTGTGAATATAATGCCTACCCAACAAAAACATTAAATAAACTAGCAGACAATAGAAGACTCGCTTTTAGTCTTCTGCTCTAACAAGTGCTCAAGGGAAACGTATAAAAACCTGTAACCTTTAGTTTGTGTAATTCTTTTTGGTATGAATTAGTCCCATAGGTCCCAATATCACCTTGCCTGGGGGTTGCTAAGCTCGTAAGTAAATGAAAATATTTTGGCCGGTCAAAAATTTGGGCTTGAATGTACTCAAAACCCTCTTACCATGCGTTTGGCTTCAAAACAGGATCGTCCTAAGTAGCCTTTGAAAAGGGTTTTTTCAATGTGTAAGTAGCCGTGGACACACATAAAACTGATATTTATAGAGAGCACTCCTGTGACAGTCAAGGGATTCTTCTATAAGCGATTTTATGCGGCCATAAAAGTAATTATAACTTGGGTTAACTTAAAATTAGTCTCTTTCCTAATTAAACTTTCAGGTGAGGCAACTTTTCGTCAAGTACAATCCAAAATCCGTACTAAACTCCAGCTCTGGTGGATGATGATGCACACGCATGATAAAGGCATTAGATAGACGACGGATGCCATTTTACCCAGTTATATATGCAAACGTTTATCAATCCAGAGTTGGCAAATAATGGCCATATGAGAAGAGAATAGTAGTGATGATGCCTTCAGGCTTTTGACATCACTATAGCAAGTGAAAAGTGCAAATAATAACTTGATTTGTCAAATATTTCGACACTATAATACCGATTTACTTATCATCATGAGCCTTAATGAACAGTCGTGTTTCCATCTCTATGCTGAAACGGACACTGCTAATTGGTTAACAACCAATTGAGATGCACTAGAATTGATAAAATAAAGTCAAAACTTTTCCAAGTACTTCTAATTAGTTAACAACTAATTGAGATGCATCAGAGGCCCTTACATCGACGTCACAGAAAAACTCCACGTTGAATTCACTGTCTTCCACCGCCTCCACCGCTTCCCTTGTTCCTGGCATTTGTTTAGCGAGTAGGGCGGACTTAAGACAGTCAAAACTGTAAAGGAAACTGTCTTGCTGCTGATTATGCCGATCCTCCTTCGACACCACGCGCAGACCACGTGGTCGTGTCGAAGTCGAAGGCAGTGGTGCTCTCGACGATGATCCAGAAGCTCTGAAAGAAGGAGGAAAACGGAAGTGACACTTCTGAAACGATTGGGGGACAGTGCTTAACCACAGAACAGTTAACACGTTTCCCCATTTCTTTGCGTATAAAACAGATTTACTGCCTATTTACAGTGGTCTCGAGAGAAAGGGCTCCCTGTTTACTTTACCTCAATTGCATTGAATGGATCTAATGCGCACTCAGGTCTCGAAATGAGTTGGCAAAAGGCTTATTGCTTGTTGTTCAAGTAACGTCTGAGTAAATACAAGTAATGCCTCACTACATAAAGGTTTTACAGCCTCCAGTTTAACCATCCAACATTTTTGCCTTTCAATACCCACTTAGTATAGAGTTATTTGAAGGTATATCACAGTAGGATTTTTTCCAAATATCTTACTGAAGTTGTGATAAATATTGACAATGTGGTGGTGGTGGTGGTGGTGGTGGTGGTGGTGGTGGTGGTGGTGGTGGTGGTGGTGGTGGTGGTGGTGGTGGTGGTGGTGGTGGTGGTGGTGGTGGTGGTGGTGGTGGTGGTGGTGGTGGTGGTGGTGGTGGTGGTGGTGGTGGTGGT